GGTTTGCTGAAGGACCGGCGACAGAAGTTTTTACTTTCTATTTTACCTTTAAAAGGTCCCTTTACACTGTGTGATTTTTTTTGACAAGTGTAATGATTATATTCCTACAGCACAATGGCGTGTCACCTTGCATGGAACTGAGGTGTGCTACAAACCAACTACAATTCATAAACTATTATTACTTGTTATGACAAATAATAGGCTGTAATTTAGAATAAAGATTCTGGTTTCTTCACAGAGGAGTGAAGAAACCAGAATATATTTACCTTTAAGACGCTGGAATCAGAGAATTTTTTCTCAAAATCTACTCAGATTGATTATCAAAATAGTTAATCAAATAGATTAATTTAATAGTTGACAACTAATCGATTAATGGTTGCAGCTCTAAAATGGAATGATGTACAGTTTATGTTAGACATCCAATCAAATTTCACACTCAAATGAAAAAATATTAATTAATTATTTGGTAGTTGACTAATTTTTCAGTACAGAAACTGAACTGTTGTTGGTTATTGCCATCTTGTATCTAACAATATCTCATATGTATTGTGCTCAACGTCAACTCCAGTTAAAACTCTGCATCATCTATTAAAGCTGTAGTTTGTAAGTGTTGACACACATATATATATATATAATAATCCTTTAGGTGAGTGTATATATATAATGTCCTCTGTTGATTTTGCAAGGGTCATCCCTCTTTGGTGAAGGCCCTCTCTCAGGTTTATGGGAAGGTCTGTGGCCGCCAGATTGACCCCTTCAAAGAAATTCTGGTCACAGTAGGAGGTTATGGTTCCTTATTCAGCTCCATACAAGCCCTGGTGGAAGAGGGAGATGAGGTGAGGACATGTCTTTCTCTCACTGGGTCATACAGAGGGGTTTATATTGATAGAAATGCACATTCATAAACATGCTCCCGGTATTTACAGTATATTAATTATGTAATACTTCCTTCTCCAGGTTATCATAATAGAACCTTTCTTTGATTGCTATGTACCAATGGTGCGAATGGCAGGGGCCAAGCCTGTGTTGATACCGTTACGCCTTGTAAGTTTAACCCAACGGCTGATGTTTGTCGTACAAGTTTCATACATACAGTATATACTTTACCTACTACACGTGTTGAGGATGTTGGTGGCTTTTAGAAGCCATGACACAAAATGTCTTCTACAAATTTTTAGAAGTCTGGAAAGAAGAGAATAACAAGTGCAGACTGGTTTCTTGACCCAGATGAGCTTTCCAGTAAATTCAACTCTAAGACAAAGGCCATCATCATCAACACCCCCAACAATCCTATTGGGAAGGTAAGTATGCATCACTGTCATCAACTGTGAACACTTGCTAACTTGACATGACAGAAAAAACAAGTGCTTTCAGTAGTTCCTGTCCCCCTCCTGCAGGTTTTGACCAGAGATGAGCTGCAGATGATTGCTGACCTCTGTATCAAACACGACACTCTCTGCTTCAGTGATGAGGTTTATGAGTGGCTCCTCTACGGGGACACCAACATATCAAAATTTGTATGTTTCAAAAACATATATAAGAGCCAACCATCATCCATCTCCTGTACAATATTAGCTCCTCCATTCTCCACACACAGCTGCAGGGAAGGAAACCTCTAAATAAATGCATTAGCACTTGCTTTAGGGTCCAGTCACACCAGAAAGTCGCACAGCACAAGCCAGTTACCCGTAAAATCCATTGACTCCGGCTATGCTGCGTTTCGGCTGCGCCGCGGTTGCTGGAGCTAATCGCGGTCATTCTAGTGAATGCTTGTAAGTCCACCAGATGCAGCAGCAGCGCGGCCCAGAAGCGGCTCTCCGCTCCACAGAGAATAGGTAGCAGGTGTAATTTCGACAGATGATGCGTCAAGCAGCACAGAGCAAATCCAACCAGGCAGGAAGTCAGACACACAACGGCATAGCGAATCCGGTCAATTTTCAAAATAAAATACTATGCGTAGACTCCTGATCGTGAAACAACAATAAACACGGTTAAAACGGACACAAAAAGAAATCATTTAACTACGTAGCCTACTCATCATAGTAGAAGCACATAAAGCAAGCACTAATGACCAAATAAACAAAATCTAAACATATCAGCAGAGTCAGTGGACTTTCAGGGTTACAATAATCCACCAAAGTAAGCGGTGGCTTGTTGACTATGAGCAAGCAAACCAGTTGGCTTAATCACCAACCAGAGAATAAATTAAGATGTTTGATTCAAGACAAGTGTTTGTACCATCGCCTGTTGTCTCGTGACTGCAAATAGTGATAGCCTCTTTATTTTTGGATCAGCAGATGAATTAACCTTACTCATGTGAGCCACTTCTCTGATCCTATATGTTTCCACTGCAATGAATTGATTCCATTCTGAAATTTCACCATTATAAATACTAGTTTGATTGCGGCCTTACACTGCCTCATCCTCCCCTGAGGAGCATTTAAAGTGTTTACTTTCTACACACCAGCACAGTTTTAAATAAACATCTCTCTTGGCATGAAATTATGTTCTTAATATTGACAACTTAAAAATGTTACTGGCCTTAAAAGATAAAATACAGCCCCTAACACTACTCTCAAATAAATTTCAATATCCTGAGGTATTTCCATGTAAATTCTCTCTCTGTAGCCACTCTGCCAGGAATGTGGGATAGAACAATCACCATTGGCAGTGCAGGGAAAACATTTAGTGTTACTGGATGGAAGGTAAGAAGTCTGTGGATTTAGAACACAATTTGTAATATTCAGCACTCAGTTCTTGCACATCATGTGGTGAAATGTGTGTGTCCTAGCTTGGTTGGTCTATAGGACCGGAGCACTTGATAAAGCATCTTCAGACCGTCATGCAGAATACTCTGTACACCTGCCCAACACCTTTACAGGCAAGTAGACACACCTCCCACATATTACTTGGCATCCATAAAATAAAGCAAAGGAAAAGTTAATTCTGTCGTGACTCTGAAACTTCTAGCTGCTTCTCTTCAGGAGGCTGTAGCACAAGGCTTGCTCCGGAACTTTGAACTGATGGGTCAACCAGAGTGCTACTTCTCCTCGCTGGCAGAAGAACTTGAGGGCAAGAGGGACCGCATGGCTGCCATCCTGCAGGAGGCCGGTATGACTCCTATCATACCAGAGGGAGGCTACTTCATGCTTGTGGACGTCACATCTCTCAGTGAGTTACTAATTTGTTTGTTTGGTAACAATTTTTATGTTGATGTGCTTCACAGAAATGAGTTGAACAGCTGATTCAAGAATCTTAAGTGCAAGGGAAGCTTGAACTCAGAGGGAGAGAACCAGATATGTAAAATGTAGATCAGTTTATGCAAAAGAAGTCACTCTGCAGTTATGTAGAAAGAAATTTACCTTGAATCCAAAAGTTTATTTGCACCTAAATATTATCTGCATGAATGGTTAACAAATGTATATTTTCAATGTACTCAGTTCACCAACAAAATAGTAATTAAAAATAGTTGCTAATAACGTAACTCAATGGTAAAATTCATAAAACTTAAAACTCAAGTTTTGCCAGGGGGATTACTACTGGACCACACAAATAAAGGAAAAAAGTATTTTTGTAAAATGGGTTTGAAATAAAATAACTTTTAATGTATAACTGATTTAAAAAGTCTATACTCACATCTTTATCACTGAATATTCACCTCTGCTCTGTGTTCATTGTAGATCAGGACCTGTCACATATGGACGATGACGACGCCTATGACTACAAGTTTGTGAAGTGGATGATTAAAGAAAAGGCAAACAAATTCATCAGATTGTGCTCTCTTCAATTTACAATACATCTTAATTGTTCTTAGTTGCACTCACTGTTGTTGATTTTTTTTTATTGCCGTTTTTAATAATAATTATAATAATAATATATATATAGAAACTGGCAGCCATTCCAGTCACTGCGTTTGTTGGAGAGGAGTCCAAGAAGCAGTTTGAGAAATACATTCGCCTTTGCTTCATTAAGGTAAATGCACAACTGTCTAATTGTTACTGTTGATTGTAAAGATTATGTTGGCTTAGATGCCCTTTTCTCTGGTGAAAAACCCAATTATAACCTTCAGTTGTATTTCTCTTAACAGCAAGACAGTACCCTTGATGCAGCAGAGAACATCTTGAAAAACTGGAGGAAGATTTAATGGGATGCAGTGACTGAAGACTTCCGCATAATTTCAGGGAGGAAGAACAACTCTATGCTCTAACTGAAGGAACGGGACTTGACGGCAAAATAGCGCACAAACTGGAAGTTGGTAACAGTGAACAGTTAATAGCAAAATGTTTATCTATTCTTTAAAGTGCAATGTGCACTATGTTGTAACAACACTTTGTACCTCAAGGGACGGTAGTCCGATAATACAGCTCAGGTCTCCCCCGTAATTTCAGCTGGGAGACGTGTGCGAGCAGCTACTTTACTATCTTAACTTAGTTTTTTTTGTCTAATAAATAAACAAAATTAACTTAAAAAGAAAGGCACACATTACACCATTAGCCTATACCCCGTTTTAAAGTAGATAATTAATCTGATAAATCACGCAAGGTGCGATGTGAGCAGACACAGTAGTACAGTTTAGTATTAGTTAATATTTGCAAAGAAGTTTAACATACGGACGCACAGCAGATAGGTAAACAAGGTATTGCTTTGACTGAACCTTTCTACTGTAACTGTGCGCTGTCTTTAATTTTTTCCAATAAATTGTAAAACCCAGACAGGTCCTGGGTTGGACTGCTTTGTGACCAGTGGCTTCCATTTTTGTCTTTGGAAAACCTCCATTGTAAGAAACCACAAATGATGGAGATATTTGTTGTGTCAAGAACTGCATTGCAGTAAAAGTCCTCCTAAACACTTAATTTCCTGCATTCTGGTGAAATTATTTTGCACTAATTTATTGAGGAAATGTTTGAGGTGACAATTAAAATAAAAATAAAAAATAGGTAGGGAGCTAGTAAGAGATGTGATTGGGCCAGCCCAATGTCAGTATAGCCTATGCTTTATGGGCTCATCGTTGGCCCATTTTTTAAAAACAGTTAGGCTATAATAAATAAATAAATCATTTATGTTACACCGGCCCCAAAGGTTTGACGGCCCACCGGTATGCCAGACTAACAGTCCACCCCCGGGGCTACAGTCTGTTTATCCGGGGCTAAAGCCCTGGAAAAATGACCTGGCGACGCCTATGAACGGAACCAGCCCTGAATAATCAATATTAGATATGTCAGTCAAGTTAAAAAAGGGTTAATATGTTCAGGATATGTAGTTGAGGCCCTGCCACTGGAGTGAATTGCAAATCGCGGTTCTACTGGGGTTCTGTTGCCCCCGCTACAATTTTAGGTAGACACAAGCAAGCTACTGTATTAATTTACAGTACCTACAATATGATATAGTGTGTCATTCACACAACTCGAGATACGGTTGCAAAGCTATACTTCCATATTTTATTGAAAACGTCTTGAGGGGATCCTACGGAATGTGGCACCAACCGGCTAACGATAAAGCAGGTAAGCTAGCATATTTTAGCTAGAGGACTAACGCATCACTCTGCTACAGTAAAATCAGTTTGTCACAGTAATTCTAGTGCCTTATTTAGGCTTAAACACAGCAGTATTTTGGTTGCATGTCGTGTCAGGTTAAATGCCATCTCAGAAATATTAAACATTAACGTTCCTTTAATTTCCACCCATTCAGAAAGTAACTTGCAGCCAACTTCCCCCTGAGAACACGGACAACTTCAGATTCGTTAAGTTACAGCAAAGACAACAGGTGAATGTTGACTGGGTGCTTCATACTTACATGATCAATTTCAAGGACTCTGGCATATTTAACCATCTTAATTCTGTTACTTTGACTTTGCACGTGGTTAATATAAACTTCCAAAAAATACATGTTTCAATAACTATTGTGTTCTACTTTACCATGTATGGGCATATTTTTTTTATCACGCGACTCAGCACTGTTGATATTTAGCATATCAGTAGTATGAAAACACGTTAGACAGTGCTGACCTCTGATTTTATGATATGTGTAGCCTACATTTGATGTGTTGTTATTGCTTTGTAAAAGAAGTCTTATTTTGCTGTTATGGTTTGAATACTCTAAAGACACCTGGACAAAAATGAAACACGTTCTTCCATAAAACAGAACCAGGTTTATCCAAAGCATTTCCAGGAACAGGTCTTGAGACTCACACAGGTGTTCTCACTCATTCTACTTGATTAGACCTCTGCAGCTGGGCAGAGCTATAATGGGAATATCATGGTGGCTCCGAGGCTCAACGCATTCACTTGCAAATTAAGGAAACATCTTCACTGATTTGTCAACACATGTGCAGCATTAAAAAAACTAATCAGAAAATACATCAAGTGCAGGTAATACACTGACTATGTAGTAACTCATACAGCCCCACTTCAAAAATCCCGAACTGTCCCTTTAATGTAAAATAATGAATAATATGGATGTTAAACATAAAAGCTGTCATGGTGATCACAGATAGCCTAGATAGCATTTTAAAAGGCTAACCTGTCATAGAAAAGAACATAATTAAAACCTAATTATTGGAAACTGAGTACAAGCTGGATCGATTGGTCTGATAACATTTAATTAAATCATGTTTCTGTGACTTCTTTTCCAGACTGTTGGAAACTTTCGTCTCGACAGCAGTTTTTTGTCACTGCCCCGTGCTGTAGGCTCCAGGCGAGGCAAGTTCATCTCGAACGAATCTACTGTCAGGGCTTACTGAGACACTTGAATAGAGCGTAGCCATCATTAATGTTGTTAGTAACATGCACAGTACCAGGGGGCTGGAACTGACTCATGAATGGAAATCAGCCATCATCAATGTAATTAATCACATCTGTACTTATTATTACACTATTCTATTACAAGAAAATGTCTGCTGTGAGAAAGGTTACCAAAGTCCATATAGACCTTTTTCAGAATGTTTTCTTCGTACTACAGACTTCTTATTTTTGAATTGGTAGAATTTGGTTTGGAGTATATTGGAAAAGTACATGCGAGACCGTCAGCAAGCATACTAAAAATGCTCCGTCGTTGAGCATGCTGTTTTTCCCATAATTCATCGCAGAGAGGCAATAGAGGAGCTACTTACAGCTGTGAGTAAGTTGTGGATGTTGGTGTAACAGCCTTGTGAACACCACAGAAAATAAATGAAACAAATGTGTTCATGCTAAATTGAATTTGTGACACTCCAAAGTTGCAGTTTGATTGACATGCATTATTTATTAGTATGAAATGGTTGAGTGTGTTTTCTTGTATACTGCTAAACGTGTATACTTTAAACTGTATACATTTAGAATGTACAGTAGTATGAAATTGGAACATGTCATAGCTGGAAAAGCACAGGTGAAATTAATAACATGGCTTAGTTTTGTTAAAGGTTTGGCAGCATCCACAGTGCCAGCACTTGGAAACTGATTGACAGAATGAAAAGCTTTAATGTTGACATATTAAAATGCCTCCTGTGATAAATACAATGTGTAACAAATGGTAAAGGTTGAAGTTATCCCACACTAACAGGAGAATGAGCCCGAATCAGGGAGAATAAGTGAAAACACCTGTGGGGTGTTTTTAAATCTCCTTGAACCTCTGACTTGCTGGTGTTCAGCTGTTGTTTGCATGAGTGCCACTGACCAGTCTGTCACTATCCTGTCTGGAGAAATTATATGGAAAAAGGTTAAGCTATGTTGTTTTACACTGCCCCCAGAATGTGACACTGGCCAACATTTGCCAGTTGTAGTCACTTATTCAGGGATGCTAGATGAACAGTTGTGAGAGTGCTTTGTAGAGCAGCTGTTCACTGTACTGAACCAGTTAGGCTGGTTTTCCTGGCTGAAAGGAGTCTTTTCAGAAAAGTTGATTGTTCATTACATATGTATTGACTGTCAGTAAAATCGATTTGTGCTAATATATTGTTTCATTGTTTTCCAAATTTTTCCAAATTAACAATTTCATGCAAATTGTAACAACAAACCACTTGCATTGATTTATTGAAGTTTTGTTTTACCCAGTGGTTTCTCTAAGCCCTGCCTACATTTTTACAGAAGTGAAATCCAATTTTTGGGGATGAGGTAGTGTTCTAACAATGTTAATCAGTGCAGGCCATTCCACCCCTTGGTTTTGTTTATTTTTATCACATTAATTAACCCATCCTGACATGTGTGTCATGCAACACAGTCGTCAGCCGGCCATTGCATGTCTTTCTATAGCATCTAAGCATTGGCTTGCACAGGGGGAAACAAACAGCAGTAGGTATTTTTCCCAGAAGATATTTTGACATGTCACAGTAGCAAAAGTACAGGTGTATACTAAAAACCAGAATTCAGTTTACCTGCTTTGTTTGCTATTGTGCATGCTGGTTCACTGTCACACTGCCATGGCTTACTGGGGGACTTGAATAGAAGAGCGCCATCTTTAGTGTTAATAGTAACACCTGTGTTTTTCCTATGACATGTCAGAAAATCTGAAGAAGGCTCACAATAATAAAAGTTTTAGGACTGATCTGAAGAAGTAAAGGGAGTAAGAGAGGTGTGGCAGAATCAGGTTGTGTGACCCTATGCAGTAGGTGGCTTTTTCCCATTTCTGTAAACAGATCAGTTTTGTAAAATGCAATTTCTTAAATATGACTAATGGGTATAAATTGGTTCTTTGGATAACTATTGAATCCACGCCAAGTCCAACTTTATTAGTAGGTATTATATACATTTGTTTATCAGTTAAAAGAAACATGATCCCAGTGCCTGTCATCAGCCAGTTTTCAAAAATGTACAGTCAATATTTTAGTCATTTAAGTGAAATTGACACTTTATTTGTCTAGCTGTTAAACATTTTTTTGGGAATTATAATAAATCATTTTTTTTCATTGATTTTGACTTGTCAAAGCTAGAAATTCACCAGTGTAATTAATAACATAAATGACGACCCCACTTGATATTAGGGGCCCAGTTGTGGGCCAGCATGCACAAAACCAGAGGCTTGGAACTTAAATGCAATGCAGCCATAATTTAAGCAATTAATTACACCTCTGCCTTTCCTACAATGACTTGTCTGCTTTGAAAAGGTATATTCATGTGTGTAACATTTGAAAATTCTTTCTCATCAGATCACACTGAACCTGTTTGTTTATCCTTTAGACCACTTGAGGGAGACAAAGTACATTAGACTGGAACAAAACTTAACAATGCACATTTAATTCAGTATTTGTCTTCCCATTTTACAACAGTGATGCAAAAGAAAAACAAAAAACAACTCATTTGTGCTTAATGTTCATTTCTTTTAATGTTTTAGCATTTACATGGACAACATTTACTCAAACATGGCTGCTGCCTCAGTAGGGTTGAAATATTGATGCATCAGGAATGTCACATTGACTTTGGAAGAACAAAAACATGCCAGAGAAAATCCAAAAAGTTTAAAACGAGGAAAAAGTAGAGAATATTGTATTGTGTCATACTATATAGGTTAAGATGTTGGAAAATGTGAAAATTGACAGTTCAGTTATCATAGGAAGAGGCTTACCACATGCCATGATTCCATGTCATGTGGTAAGCCACATACATTTTAATTAATTTAATATTGAATATTCATAGTCATGTTTATTGCTAATAGTTAATGATGCATGGAGTATTTATTTTGTAATTTCAACCACAATAAACATTCCCCATAAACAAAATCTCCAAATTATATAAAAAATCTATAACAACATGTGAAAAGTAGAATATTCACGAAACATTGCTCAGAAATACAAGCACTGAAAATAGTATAGATAAACATGACTCATCTGTGGCAAATATTAGATCAGCTCTAATCAGTTTAATGTCTTAATTCACTCAATTCAAATCAAAGTAAACCACTTCAACAAGTTTTTTTGAAGCAGTATCAATTTCTAGATGACTGAAGTACCCCAGACCAAAGGATCAAATTACTAGACAAGCTGGCTGTCCATTCTATAACCATGAGGCTGTGGACACAGCACAGGGAAAGAGAAAGGACTCACTTGCAGAAATGTATATTTAAATGAAATGGATCTTTTGTCCAAGCAGACTGGTGTGATTTTTTTTTTTTCTGTGGTTATGCATAAACCTGGCGTCTAGTTTCCATGACATCATCATCGTACATACATTCAGGTTCACACAGTCATGGTGTGTAGATGTTAATGTAACGGTTGGAGGGGTCGAGCATCAACGCGCCGCCTCACCTTCCCCCTGTTTTTCTCGCAGAAAAGAGCACCTTTGTCCTCACCAACAGTATAATTTCATGCCAAGTAGCTTGGAACGTTAACTATCAACTCTGAGGCTACAATTAAAAGAACCAGATAAAGTGCAGGCATACTACTGTTGACTGTAACAGCTGGTAATAGCTTTAAGTTAGCTATTTATGTGCCAAATTTGCAGAGAACACAAAGACATGCTTCAGGCATGGAACAGCATCATTTGTCCATCATGCCAAATTGAGCCTTCCTGGGTAGTGAATGTGGCAGGAAATATCTGCCAAGGAAAGAAGCTTCACCTGTTAAAACAGACCTCTTGCATCTCATGATTTAAAGCGAACTTTTAAAATGTCATCAACACAAAACACTTCATTTTGTATTTTATTTGTATTTTCCAGTTATTACATGATGATTGTGAAAGTGCTTCTTCTATTTCTCAACAATGTTTACTAAAACTTTTTTTAAGATTATTTGTTCGGGCATTTATTCCTTTTATTCCTTTATTGGACAGTGACAGCTGGAGAGAGAGAGAGAGGTT